GGGACTTTGAGGGATTTCAATGGTTTGGATGCATTCGGCGTGGGAATTGTCCCCGGCGCGGTGCGAACCACCGGAAGGAGCGGCATGAGGGAGCCACGAGACTTCTTCGAACGCTCCCGGCTCCCGGTATCCTGCTTCTCCGTCGGGTTAAGAGACCGCTTTTTGTGTTTCTTCCCCACCCGTGGCGTCTCGGCTATGCCGGACGAACATTTGAACGAGGTCTCACCGAGAATCCAAGGGTGGTTCTGGAGATCCCGAACGGAGCACCGATCCTTCGGCTCATATTGTGTGCAGGCCCTAAGAAAGTCTCTGGCGGTAGCCGATGCATGCGCGGGAACCTCATCGCTGACTTTTCGCTTAATAATCGCGAACATCACCGCCATATGGTTGTCCAAGGAAGAAAAAGGCGGCTTTCCGGTGAGCATTTCCACCACACAGCAGCCCACGGACCAGATATCTGCCGCGTAGGAGTGCCCACTGCATGCAATCACCTCCGGCGCCATGAAATTTGGCGTCCCCGCGACGGAGTCCGTGACGAGGGTCGTGACCAATTCCTTGCTCGTACCAAAGTCTCCCAGCTTTAGAACATCATCTTTGTGTAAAAAAAGGTTATCCCCTTTTAAATCTCGATGTACAATATGTTGATCATGGAGGTACTCAAGCCCAGACAGGAGCTGCTTGGTGTAGTGCCGCGCTTGATTCTCGGTTAAGGGACCTGAGCATCGTAACTGATCTCCCAAAGTCCCACCAGGAACGTATTCCATAAAGACATTAATACAATTCCCTTCGCGTGATGCCCCCAAATAATTTATAATGTTGGGATGTCGAAGCTTACGCATCACATTAATCTCGCGCTCCAATAGCTGAAGTTGCTTTTCCATATCTTTCGAAAAGTCTTTTGGGACCAGAATCTCCTTGATGGCTATGGTGCGGCTTGTATCCAAGTCGATTCCACGGTACACATACCCCGAGCTTCCCCTTCCAACCCGTACCTCTTTTTTGGCCTGCCAGACGCGCCAGAGCTTATCATCGGTCGAAGAGTCCGTGTTGTCGTTCGAGGAGCTGCTCGTGCAAATGTGGTTCGATAATTCCGCTTTGGAAGGCTTTGTTTTGGGGTTGGGGAGGTCTTCAGCGTGGAGGGGCTTCTCGGAATTCGCCGCGGGGGTTGGATCGCCGGGTTGTTGGAGTTTAGTGTGCGCTTTCGGCGTCGTCGCGCCCTCCGTGATGGGGTTGTCGATAGGTGTGGGGGTGGTCTTCGGAAAGAGGACGTGTGGGGTGCGTTTGCGGGATGGGGGGACGGCGTGCTGCGAGATCGGGGATTTATCTTTTTCTCCTCGTGATAGCCGCCATAAAGGACTCCCGGGTAATCTACTTTGGTTGTGATCCGATTGTCCTACCCTGGAATCCGTCCCGAGCTCTTTGTTCGAATGCACGGGAACGTTTTTTCGATCCATCAGGAGCTTCGGGGAATCGTTTTGGGGCTGTGGAAGGCTGTCCGAGCACCCGCCGATTTGCGGCTGTTGGGGTAGATGGCATCGGGGCCAGCTGGGGGGGTGCATCAACGATGAGGAGAACTCAGTATAGCAGGTCAGGCTGCAGCTCGGGACGCTTTCGGAGATCGGCATGCAAGAGATACTTTTGACCGAATGTAAGGAAAACGGCCTCGAACTCCCACTTAAGGAGTACATCCCGGGCGAGTTGTGAAGGGAGTTATTATCGCTACGGCTCGAGACGCTGGGGGCTTTATTGAAGATCTTCACATAGCCTTGACGAGAGGGATGCCGTCGCTTTCCGGTGTCTTTTTTGGACTTATCCAACGCAGACCCTGATTGCACGCGTCGGTCTTTATATTCTGAAAATTGCGGCAAATGAGCTCCTTCGGAGTTGTTTAAGCTAAGGCTACGCAACGAGCTACATACTTCACTAACTGAATGTTCGCTTGTGGTATTCTGGAAGCTAAAAAAAAATAACGACCCCGAGGTCTCTGAGTTCAATTCCATTAGCTGATAATCACAAGTCGACTTGGGTTTGACAATCCGACATGGGGTTGTGCCCCTAGGTCGGACCTTTCGATTGCAGGATGGATGTTTTGAGTTATCTAAATCGGGCGCGCAACCGATCGCGTTTACACACAATGACTGCTCTTGATTCATAAACCGTCAATGATAGGGGGAAAAATTGATGCAGCAAAGAAAAGGGAAAGCTAATTTGTTTAAAATTTTAAGGGATAAGCTGACAACTATAAGGTTCCCTTGATTAATTAAAAATAAAGGAATTCGTTTTATAAGACTACTATATATATATATATGCTAAACAAGAGACAAATTTGTTCTGAAAAATAGAGCTACTCTATTATTAGCATAAACTAAGTTCAGTAGAGTAAGATTTGCTAAAGAAATAATAACTAAATTGAGCGTGTTCCTTCACCCTTTTAAAAATTTAGGATACCCTTTGTTTTTACTGGCGTAGCTTGACTCTACAATCTCAAAATGGATTAGAAAAGCAGCACAATAAATTAGCGAAGTGCGCGCTCAGTAAATTAAGGAAGAAAATAACAGAAGAACTTATTAAAATATCAAAAGAAATGTAAAATAAGGCGGTGATAAATAGTAGCATCATAATCTGAAAAACTAAGTTATTCGGAAACATTAAAAATACATATACAGAGTTCAGAAATAGGGATATATGAGAACTCAAAGGGTATGCGATGACGAAAAAAAAAGGGTAGATAAATTTATATAGATATTATATTTGCTGATAATCATCATATATTGAGTTTATTATATATTTTTTTCTTATTCAAAAAGACCATATTTTATAACCCTTTAAATAAAAAGAAACTACAAATTCCCATAACACTAATCTGAAAAACATTGTTGGATATATTGTGTACTACATCATAATCAATGTCATACCAACCCTCATCTTGTTGAACGACTTAAAAAATAAGCGACTTCGTGGGGTTTTAAAAAGTTGTATGTCTATTATTATTTCTGTCAAGGAGTTCAAAATCATAAAAAAACACAAAGTATAGCATGACAATTTCAACGATGTTTTTTCCTATTCTTGAAATTTAAGACTTAAGATGTAATTAAAACAGAAAGTTAAACCCATTTGTGATTTATCAGCATTGCATAAATTAAGGTTTTCCTACACTTTCTTTGATTATACATTATCGTCTAAAACTAATCGCTTCTTCGAATATATAGATAGATGGGTGAAAATATGTAAAATATTGTATGCTCCTCGAAAACTGGATATAGTTTGTTGCTTAATTTTCCTTGACCCCTTAAAGCAATGATATATATAAATCTGATGTTGAATGGTTAATTGATTTTTAAACCTGTAACTTATAATTTCCTTTATTGTAGAGAACATCATAAAATACGTAGTTTTTATCGGCAAGTAAAGAACTTTCAAAAATACATGCATCTGAAAGGAATATTTTCTATTCACCTTTTAATTTAAATCTTTTTTTTTTATTGTTTATAGATGCCATTATGTGAAGACAATTCAGATAATGAATCTACAAAAGTTCCAATTGCCCAGTCATTAACTCTGAACCGGGTTTTTCGACTGTGCAAGCACTGAAAGGCAGACGTAACGTCTTTACCGTTGTTTCGGATAATGATATCCCCACCCCCAGGGTGTTCATCTACGAAGTCAGTAAGATCACACACAAGGCCATTGATAATAACCAAACATCGATTCTTGTCCTTTGAAAGTTGTTCATGAATATCTTGTAGCGTGAAGGTTCTTTTGCAAGAGTCGCACATTTTTTAGGTGGGATATGATGTAAAAATTTTGTAAGAAAAAAAAAGAGCCAAACGGTATGGTTTTCTTTATTTTATTGGTGTTGTTAGTTTAGATGAGGATAGAAAAGACGAAATCTTAGTAAACAACAAATACATCAATGATGAGATTACAGAAAAGAAATTTATAACATCATCTTTGTTTAATCGTTTCTTCTTTCAAGAAAGTGTGAAATCGCATCCAAGCTTACAAAAACACAGTGTAAACTTATTTTTTTTCCTCTAGGAATTAATTATTACCAAGCACCATGTAGCTTTAAAACTTGTTCCTATAATGTACACCTTTACTTACACGCATACTAAGAAAAAAAGGGAATTAAATAAAAGTCAGTCATTATCACGTGAATAAGTTTTGGTTTCAATCACACGACAAATTTGAAATACAAGAGAAGTTTGTTCATGCACATCATATGTTTAATAATAAGTCAAAAAGAGCAACCTTTTATTGCAATAAAAGGTATTTGATCTGACTTGAAACCCTTGTAAACTGAGTGTAAGATAAACTATGGTAAAATAACTACCTAAATAGATGGATGAGGGGGAAAGCGTTGCGATTAATTAGGAAAGGTTAAAAAAATGCTAAATCAAAAATTTGCAAGCTATTTTCTGGGACAAATAGTAATAACAAAGCATTGGATATTAAGCGTGTTTAGTATTTAAGAAATCCGCAGTAGTTCGATTAGGTAGAAACTCGAATATTACACTACGTAAAGGATAAACCACAGATCCTAGCTTAGTGTTAAGCTTATTTCGGCATTTTGTTTTTCTTCCGAAGCGGCTTACCTGAGTCAAATTTATTATTAGATGCAGTAGTCAAGTGACGTGCTGCCGCTTCGAGGTGCTTGACTTCTTTTTGCGCATTAGCAATGAGTTCTGAACGACGTTTATTATGCTCTTCCTTCTTCTTCTGTGTCTCTAGACGTGTTTGTTTGGCGCGGCGGTCATCCAGAAATGGGTCTCCGCCCTCCTCAGAAGGCATGTATCCTGGCTTTACTTCACGCAACCAATCGTGCTTCTCCTTATCCTCACGTGCACGTTTACCCCACTTATCCTTCCATTTTTGTTTATCCTCATCAAAGACTCGGTTAGGTACCTTTCGGTGGATGTCGATACCCTTCTTGAGGGCAAACTTTTGCCAAGCAGTGAGCGGCTTTGGTTTCGGTGGGGCTTTCTCACGCGGAAGCCTCATAACCGTTTGGGGAAGTTCCACGAGTTTGACGACACCACCAAATTTGCTTTTCTTAGATACCACAGGGAGGGTCTCAAACTCGCCCAGGAGTATCTTGAGGGCTTTCTTGCACGATTCCATTAAATGTTCCTCTCTACGCATAGGACCGCTCACAACAAGGGTGTCCGTGATGGTGAGTAGGCCTACGTCGACCTCAAATTCCGACATTACTATTTATGCAAATCTATTTCTTTTCCTTCCCTTTTTTATTTGTTTAAATAGAGAAGTTTATTAAACATCATTATATAAAAAGAATGAAACAATTACCCCAATATGACATTTTATACCTTTCACACTAAAGTGAATGTGATTCGATGCGCAAGAACCGCAGGAATTAAAGTTAGCGTTTTCAACAATCAGTGACCCTTTTGAAGGCTTTTTAGTTAATAATAATAAATTTAATTAATAAAAAATGATGATAAGAAGCAAAATAATTACTTACAGATCATCAAACTTGACCGTCTTTCCGCGATCATTTATGTCTTTTCCTTCCCCTTCCCGCAGCATCTTCACCCGAACTTCTCCATTGGACCATTCATCTGGGGCCACAAGCACCACACGGTCTGCGCCAACACGGTCAGCATAACTGAAGGCCTGGGCAATTTTCTTCTTGTCCATTATGATATCTGCGCTGCGGCCCTGACTCCGCAGAGCCCTGAGCACTTTGAGCGCAGCAGGACGCATGGACTCATCATATGGGATCACCACGTCGTCCATTTTCTGTTGGTTTACATTCAACAGATTCTTTTCCTTGAGAAGTTCCACAATGACGCAATCACCGAACCCGAAGCCGGCACATGGTATTGGGTTCGGGCTACCGTAAAGTGACATGAGATTATCGTACCGCCCGCCGCCGTAAATAGCGCGAAACTTGCCTTCTCTATCGAACCCTTCGAACACGATACCGGTATAATAAGACAAACCACGGACTACGCTTGCATCAAAGAGGACCCAATCAGCATAACCGTACGCTTCGATCAATTCAAAAAAACTTCTCAACTCCAAAACCGCCTCATGGTTAACGCCGATCTTATCGGCGATTTCATCCAGCGACCTCATGCTGAGGGAGCTTATGATTGTGTTCACAATACTGGGTGAAAGCCCCAGCTTCTCCAGCTCCTGCTCCACCTCCTCGCGAGAAATCTTCTCCATTTTGTCCACAATCACGCAGACGCGAGGGAAGAGCTCGGGCGGCACCCCCACCTCCTCCACAAAGGCCTGCAATACCTTGCGGGAGTTCACCTTGACCCCGACCTCATTGCTTGTCAGCCCGAGCCGCTCCATCGTCGCGCAGGCGGCGCTCACCAGCTCCACCTCCGCGGTGACGCCCTTGACGCCGATGATGTCCATATTCCACTGGTAGTGCTCCCGCCGCCGGCCGCGGGTGATCGTCTCGTAGCGCCAGCACTGCGGGAGGGCGTACCACTTCGCGGGCAGTAACAGGGCGCGGCCCTTGGCCAGGAGCAGGCGGGCTAGGCTGGGGGTCATCTCCGGCCGCAGCGTTACACGGTGGCCGCCTTTGGTGACAAAGTTGAAGAGCTGCCCGGTGATCTCCTCGCCCTGTTTGCGCACGTAGAGCTCCTCGGACTCCAGCACAGGGGCGTCGTACTCCTCGAAGCCAAAGGCCCGGGCGGTGGCGTGGAAGGCGTCAAAGAGGGAGGCCCGAATCCGCATCATCTCCGGGGGGAAGTCCCGGCAGCCTTGGACAGGGTCGGTTTCGATTTTGTGCGCCTGGCCTTTTTTTTTGGATTTCTTCGTACTCGCCCCTCCGGTCACGCCAAGCAGAGACTCTTTTTCAGCCAACTGCAGTCGCAGCTGGGCAATCTCCTCCAAGAGAGGGGTGGTATCCGCCGCCGCCGTCGGTGGCATCCTCAATGGAATCCGCTTCGCTAGGAAATGAAGAACTCGCGTTCTGATTAGGTTTCCTCTGTGAAGCAATACATAAATAGTTAGACGTGTAGGTGTATGTGTATGAAAAGCATGAAATTTGGAATGGAGAGGCTTTTATTATGATGATAAAGGTGACCCACCAGTGTGTATGCATAATGTTTACATCAGGTCATTTAATTTATTGGCCCAGATACTGATTGAAAAAAGGACACTAATACTCACAGGCAAAGAGACTTGACATGACATGTCACCAATTTCCACACTCACGTATAAACTCCATTTGTTGAAGGCGGTACGCGTCATAACCGATACGGCCAAGAGATACCGCGGGGCTCCCTTCATAAATCGTGTACGGTGTTAGTACCGCATCTGGTGGAATCCAGCTACGCGGCCTAATCCACACCCCATCAGGTATTCGGACACGACTTCCGATTACACACTGTTCATCAATGCGCACAAAATTGCCGATTTCTGCGGCTTCACAAACAGATTTTACCCCAATAATGGTAAAACATCCTATATTCACCAACGCGACCGATTGAGCGACCTGTTGATTTACTAGAGGATGCAGTGGTGGCCGGATAATTGCCCCACGTTGCACAACGATGTAGGACTGAAGTTTAAGCCGCGCGGCATCACCATATATCACGCAACAGGGCGCAAAGTTATGGGTAGTGGAAGACCCCACGTCGCCGAATAGGATAGGAGTCCCTTCTTTATTTACAGCAGACCTGTCGAACACGCAGTGGGGCAGCGGGTTTGGGGCACCAGAGGTTAACAATAAAGGAATGGGATCCTCAATGTTGCTCATTATTGGCCTACTTCGTAGATTAACTTTCTTATTTGATATAGACACAAAATATAAGTGAATCAAACAAAGAATAATACCAACTACATGCGTGCATATAGATTTTCTGTTCTTTTTGAAAGAAAAGTCGTATATATGCATCGAATGCAAATATGGACGATACCATCATAAACGCAGTATTGTAAAAGCATGACATTCAGGCTAATTCTGATAACTACCAGGGATCTTCACGGCGCTCACTCTTTGTGATAATGATTTCGGGTTCCTGCAAAACCCAGTGCCCACGATAACGGAGTGGTACACGCACCGCACCCGGGCGGGGTGGGGTTGACTGATCAATCTTAGGGGGGTTGGGTAATTCACTGGGTAAAGTCGTCTCCTCTCGTTCATCTAAGGAGGTTAGTACATTTGACAAAGTTTGGCTTGCAGATATTGATTTACTGGGCGCAACTCCTTTAAATATACTCTGCGTTCTTTGTGCAGCTTCTCGCATGCTCACTCGACTCAAAAGCTGATCAAACTGCCGGATAAGCGGATCATCATGAAGTCCGAAATACTTTAGAGTGCGATATATCTGCTTAGAATATTGTTGCGCCACTTCTAAAGAGGCAGACATGGTAAAGAAAGGCCGAAATGCTTCCACTTCCTTTAAATATTCATCTTCAATCGCATTGCATGCTTTGGTATTGTTATCTGAGGCCGCATTGAGATGTGCCAAATACAATTTATAAAGCTGAAGAGCCCCTTCTACCAGCGGAGTTGGGTTATGTAATGACGTTGAGCGCAGTACAATAGAGCGGAACATTCCGACTTGGCACTCAAAAAGATATTGATAGAAAGAAAGGAGGGAAAGAAAAAAAGGATGACCATACTTAAGTATTTGTCAATAGCTTCAAATTCATTATAGGAATAGACAAAACATCGAAAAGGCTCAAATATTTTACGTAGATACGCCTTGGCTTTGTTTACAGAGACTCTTCGCACATAGGTGATATCAAAGAGGGCTAATTTACAGTTTTGATATACCAATTTCTTAAAGAACTCTTGCATATTTTAGTCACCAGTGTAGCCTAAACGCTTGCTTTTGGCTAGGCGTGGGCCCTTTTTCCACCTTTCTATTCTTGAAATATTCTTGAATGCGGTGGTGCGATCGTACACGCGATCTTCATGTACATAATCCTCTGGAAGGAGTCCCTCTAGTTTCCACTTTTCAATCTTGTCCTTCACAATATCGTCAATCTTGGCGTTAGGGCTGTGCATGTTCGTAGAAAAAGCGGATGGTGTATAATCAAAGTATAGCTGCCGGGGTGAAAACTGCCTTGGTAAACGAATGCTAGCATGCCAGCACACATGGTAATACATCGCATCGTTTTCCACTAGAGGAACTCGAAGTTTGGTGGCACCATGCCCGCGCAAATCAGAGTATGTTATGCGCAGAAACTTCACCTTTCGCTCTCCAAAATGGAAAAGGTATTTTTTGACGAAGTTATAAATAGCCGCATCTTTCACAGCATTAAGTGCTATAACTATTGATCGAGCGGTTATTCGATCCAAATCCGCCTGTACATCCAACATTTCTTCCAAAATCAGTTGGACACCTTCTTCATCACCTTGTCTTCCTACGCTTTTCAGCAGGGAACTCCATTGAGGTGTATCAAAGTGTGGAGTGTAGTTCCACCCATGCTTTAGACATTTCTCGAAGATCGCCTTCCACCCGACGTGGTTGGACTTACTACAAGCAAAGAGAATTGCGCTGATTAATGGAAGAGATGGCTTTTCCGTTCCATCCATAAACCGCGGCCTACAATATAGCTCCCACAATTCCATTGCCGGATCTCCTTTTCGTTGAAAGCCGCAATGCTGGAATATCTTAGCAAGCCATGCGTCTTTTGCCTCCTGGTCCTCAATAAGTGGGGTAAGTTTGGTGAATTCCGACACCACCTCTTCCACCGGAGTTCGTGGGACGCATCGACCGTGAGGAAGCTTTTTTAGCTGAGGCTCCAAGGCGACGAGAAAAGAAAGATCCATCTCGTTTGGAACCCACACCCCACGATATTTATTTACCGAGCTGTGCATGCTTTGAAAAGGTGCGGGAAGGGTCCGATTGACGCTATGCGGACGTTCCATCCCCTGTGGGAGGTTGTAATGCCAGTGGTATTGGCTGTAGGCCACCATGGGCGAGGTGTCTGGGTTAATGGGGATGTAGCCCAAAAATTGTCTGAAAGTTCTACGCAACATTTTGAAATCAACCCTTACAACGTTCTAAATCCAAAAGTCTATGCCCTACAGAAGTGAAACAGTAAAAGAGAAAACATCGGATGGAAACATATATGAAGACACTATGCGTATATAGATTTATCGTTCTTTCTCTCTTTCTTTCGCACCCTCTATCACTTATTACAACGCAACACATTGAATATTATTCACACCGTGATGCAATTCTAGCTAGCAAAAGGCTTTAGCTGATTGCAAACCACCGTGTCAATAAAACAATTCTGGGACATGTTTTTTTTTTAGTAAAGATTTTAGATTACAATAAATGGTATTTGCCTTTTATTAATATACGCGCAGATTTCCATTATCTTCATTTATACAGAACTCAACTACAATCAAAGGACAGACATGCTGTAAAACTTAACCACAAAGAGTTCACGAGAGATAAAGATGCAGTTGAAAAGTTTGTGACTCGATTTTTATATAGCTAATTCTAGAGTACCCACTAAACAGAATGTTACTTAATGGTATTTTGGTTTGCCTATATACAGCGAAATTCATCCGACTTCCACTTCATGAAGTGTGAAGAAATACACCGCTACTATATTAACTATTAATATGGAGGACTCTAAACGATTGAATACATATTTGTATACATAATGCAAATGACCCAACAACAACAGTATTCATATAAGTAATTATTATAGAAAAAACTCCTCCCACAACATACTTGATATAAACATCTCTTCAACAAATCGTCATATTTATGATCGTTTACTTTTTAAATATTTTTCTTTTATCAGGATACAACGCATAATTTTTTTAACACCTTTTTTATGATCCCTAAATACCGTCGCGACCATCCTCACTCGGTTTACGAGTGCTTGGTATCTATTCAAAAAGGATCGCATAGTATTCGGAAAACTCTAGACAATAATCATCCAAACCGGTCCATTAGAGAACCCCTTTAAATAATTTTTAGAGCCCTCGGTGTTTGTTCGTATTTCACCGTAGGGACACCCTTTTGCACGCGCTAACGTTTCGAAAAGACATAGATACCGTGGACTTGAGATTGGGGGTGAGATTTATCCCCTGTTGTGAAAGACGGCAGGGCGCGATAGCCAGGCCGGATCAGCAATGGACAGAACGACGACGTGAAACTTCGCTCGACGCCGTCCTTCGCAAAGAGCATTTTCACCACGACGATGGTCCGGACGTTGGTCGCGGTAAAGGTGAGCTGTTTTCCCGCATTTCGCACCGATCCATTGCCGTGGACGACGACGGACATCTCCGACAGCGCCGGACAATTCACCGATCGCGGCCCACAAATGATTTTCATCGTCAAATCTGTCGTCGTGTTGGCGTCCGCGTCGGTTTTGAGGAGATACCCGCACTGCCCGTTGTCCGTAAACCGCCCGATCGACCACGCGATCGAGGCCTCCGCATTCCCGACGCTGATAAATTGAATCCCGGCGTTGGAGCAGAGACCCTCGGGGGTGAAAGCCCCACTCGAGGCTTTGGGAAGGCTAACAAAGGCGAAATGATCCAAAAAGACGTCCCGGGTTTTATGCTGTAAGGACGGAATTTTATCCACCCCGATCATCTCCACATCGCAGGTTTTGTAATCCTTCCCGGAGGCGAATCGAAAAAACGTCACCGCGGAAAGTTCCAGGGAGGCCGATGTATCGTCGGAATCAACAATGCCCCCCACCACGATTTTGATCTCATCCAGGCTCTCGCGCTTTATGGTGAAATCCTCCCCAACTTTTAGGTTCATAAGGTACTCTCGCAGGTGCTTTTTATTCTTTATGGGCATGTTGTTGATATGTGTGAGCCAGTCATCTTTTAAAAGCCCACTTTTTGTCGCCGGGGTTCCTTCCATGACATGGGTCACACGTACCCCAAGCCCATCTTTGTGCATATCTGCCACCATAAACCCAATAAATGGCTTTAGCGCGCACTGGGTTGCCATCACGAGGACTTTCTTTCGTAGGGCGCTTGGGCTGAATTTGGGATCATTAATAATCGCCCCCTCGAAGATCGGACCCTTGGCAAGCATCGGGCCAAGGGTGTTGTTAAGGAGTACAGACACTTCATCCTGTAATTCTATGGAAAAAGCGGCACTCGGCAAAAAACAGAGGATGATGGGATAGGCATTCGTCGTGAAGGCGTTCTTTTTGATGCAATCTAACAAACTCTGTAAAGGACAATGTTCGGAGTAAATCGCCCCATTATCGTCTTTTTTGATATTGAGCACCAATGCCCTGCCGGAGCCATTAATAAACCGCTTCAAGTCGTTCTCAGTTTTAATACAAGCACAATTTATCATGTAATGGGTAAAACTTTGGGTCATATCTTGCCATATATCTGAGGTTCGTGCAGGATCGACCGCGTTATTGGTCAACACACTCCCGTTATAGCTAGTAAAGTTGTACTTGTGAATGCCACCGCCAAAACGGAACTTGAATTTTTCCATTAGTTGGTGATCCGTGGTTTCGACACATTGCACCTCGCGCAAGAAATGTCCTAGTTGTTTAATGGTAACAAGATCTTTACCTTTTGAAATGTCGTAATATACTTCTAGGGCGGCCTGATTAAGAAGTACCCAGTGGAATTGAAATCTGAGAATGTCCTCAAAGGTAACCGGTTTGGTTGTCGTGTAGCGAATATATAAGGTGTCTAGAACTGCCTGGCCGGCTTCCGGTGATATGACCTTATCAAATGTTGGATTTTTGACATACCACGCTAATAGAATTCTCGAGAAACTATCATCCATTGTACGTTCCTCAAGATCGTCTAAGGATCCATTTAACAGATTTGAATTTAGACACTGAGTCAGTTTACCAACCATACCTATAATAACATCAAACTTCAGACGGAACTTTGTCCGCGTAACCTCCACGCATGAATTCATAAAGGTTAGGGCAATAACCTTCTTCACAGCCTGTGAATCGGGTAGGCTACAGAATAGGGTTTCTGCCCCCTCCAATACTGAACGCAAAAACTGCTCGAAACAGTTCGATGAGCCATGATGATTTGTCAAAGAGGAATTATATTGCACGAGTGACTCTTCATTCGTCAAAGAAGCTGCTAGATTTTTGGGGTCTTTCTTCAGGGTCCCGTTCTTTACGGTTGACTCGGGCAACTTACCATCTTTGAGTCTTTCTTTCTGCCTCCGTGAAACCGATTTTGAATTTAAGCACCCCATTTCATTTGAACTTCTTCTTCCATGGATTCAATACATTGTGATAAAAGATGTAACAGAAAAGTTAAAAATAACAGGAAAAAGGGAATATTTGAAATGACAAATAATAAAATGCAATTTTAATTTAGAGTTCTTTGAAATAAAAGGGTAAAGTATAAATGTGGCAAATCACCGAAAAAAAACAAATAATCCCAAATATATCGGAAGATTAAACTGCCCTAACCGGCTTTACCCGGTGGCTGTTTGTTCATCTGCAGCTTCTCGCCAACCTTCAAGGTTTTGGAAAGGAAGCGTTTGGTGTACTTCAGACGTTTAAGTGCGCGACCGCGAGGAGCCTTATTCTTATCTTGTTTGGCAACCTTGGGGGTCTGGTTCCGGACCTTACCGGCGCGAGCGAGTGAGCCGTGGACTTTGCCCATTTTGATCTTCCTTTTAGTGAGGATAACAAATATATAGGAGAAGCAAAAAAAAAGAAAAAAAATGTTAAAAAACATACCGTAACATATTTCAATATATTCATATATTGTTTCCATAAAAGGGTTCTTTATTCACATGTTTTTTTTCGTTTATAAAATCACATGCATAAATCAAATCTGTTCCGTTTATCGAGCATTTTAGCCGCCCTAACCAGCCTTACCCGGTGGCTGTTTGTTCATCTGCAGCTTCTCGCCAACCTTCAAGGTTTTGGAAAGGAAGCGTTTGGTATACTTCAGACGTTTAAGTGCGCGACCGCGAGGAGCCTTATTC